CCTCCTAGCATGTACCAGGCACTATGTAAGTTTGAGAGCCGAAAGAAGGTGCAAGAGTCAGAGTCTGAGAGATGGAGGGAGATGCAAAAGACCCTTAATTAATTTCATCGAGAAGGCAAAGTCCATCATATTAATATTCCGTTGAGCCAGCTAGTGCCTTAGTCCTCTATATGGGGACACTGATTGGCTTTAGTCCCCTGGTTCTGACCTTTGGACACCATTTCCCAGTTGGAATCCGGTACTTATTAAAGCTTCACTGATGTGAGAAACAGCAGAGGGGTAGAGCAGAGAAGCACCTTAGCATTAGAAACCGTGTGAAATTCGGAGTCCCGCAGCGCACTGGGGCCAGTGAGAGCTGATTACGTGCCTCGCTTCCTGACCGCGTGTTCAGTGATGTCACCTTGGGAGCTCGAAATGGGCCACCGTGGGCGTATTTACACCACAGAAGTTGGCAGACACCACGAACCGGGGCTTATATTTTCAGAGATGGAGTTGTCAAAGCAGCACGCCACTGAGAGGCCCCCACGTTTGGGAGAACACACCAATACTCAGCATACAGAATGAACAAACCAAGATGGGGAGAGAATTAAAAACTTCCCATTTTAAATATCAGAAGGCTGTTTCCCAACCCATTTTCCTAATTGTATGTACTTCAGCCTAGGAAACAGAAAATACGGGGGTGGTGCTAGGAAAATAGGATGTTTGAAGTACTTTAACTAGTGGCGAGGAGCTGGGGAGATGCAAGGGACTGCGTGTGTGTGTGTGTGTGTGTGTGTGTGTGTGTGTGTGTGTGTGTGTTGGGGGTGGGGTTCCTCTTCTCTTAAGAAGAGCTAAATTGGATCAGCTGAGACCGTCTCATCAGGTTAACTCAGATGTTAGTGACAAGTGAGACCTTTTTGTTATTGGAGATGACATTACGGGCCTTAGACACTGTAGCGTGTGCGAGCTCAGCCTCTGGAGCTGTGCAGGCGGAGCCCGATAGACACACACAGAGCTGAGGGCCCAACGCAAATCGCACCCCTCTCCGATTTCATTCCGAATTTTTCCAACACCATCTTTCTCCTCTTTTCTACCCTCCAGTTTTTACTTTTCAAAGCCTCCCAGGGCATCTGGCCCCAGCCCTGAGGTTGTCCCAGGCTGCAG